AGTTAATTTTTGAAAAGAAACTCTCTAATCAATAATCTATCATTAGACAAGCTAGAGCGTACTTGGAGAGTTATTGGATGGCGGTGGGTAAGTTGGGGGTCCTTAAGAAGCACATTGGCAATAAGTTGGAACGTCTTATTTGCTGGAAGTTTCCTCTTGTAGGCTGGGTGAAATTGAATGTGGATGGCTCTAGTAGGATGAGTGAGTCCATTTCTAGCTGTGGTGGGGTGTTACGAGATGCTGCGGGAAGATGGTTAATCGGTTTTTGTAGAAATTTGGGGTCTGGTTCGGCTCTAAGGGCAGAGGTGTGGGGCATTCTTACTGGTCTTCAAGTTGCCTGGGAGCAGGGTTATCGCAAGGTTTGGTTAGAGGGAGATTCTCAGGTGGCTATCAACCTCGTGAAAGGTAATTGTGAAGTTCATCACCCCCTGGCGAACTTCATCATTAAGATTCACTCTTTGGTGGATAGACAATGGGAAATCACAATCACTCATTTCTTTAGAGAGGGTAATAGCGTGGCTGACGCTTTAGCCTGTTATGGGAGTTGCCTAGACAATAGGGATTTGCTTATTATTCAGGAGCCTCTTGATGGGTGTAGAGCTCTCCTTAGTAGAGACATGATGGGTATTTCTAGCCCAAGATGGTGTAATTCTGTTTAATGATTCCCTTATTTTCAAAAAAAAATGAGAATGAAGATATGTACTCCAATTTGGAAGACCTAGACGGGAGGTGTCAATTGAAATTAATTTATATTTTGATTAAGCGTTGTTTTAAGTTGAAAAATAAATAAATAATGTGATTATTGTTACTTATAAGATTTTCTTTTCCCGGTGAGCTGTGCACTCAGGGCATTTGGTAGAAGTTTAATTTATAAATACTCAGGTAAATGGATCTGGTATTTTAATATTTTTATGTTTGGTATAAGATTTTAAAAATTTATCTAGGAAAATGATTTGTCCAGCATTTGATATTTGTTTGGAAATTGTGAGTAAAAACACTGTTGAAAAATACCACCTAGAAGGTGGTATTTTTGGATAAATGGCAAAATACAAAAAAGAGCGCGAAGCTAGGTGACGAAAATGACCTTGTATTCAGCCTACCAAAAATTACTTTTATTTAGTCAATGGTTGTTGTAATTTCACCCTAATTTTCTAGCAATATTTTACCTTCAACCAAACATAGACTTAAGAAACTTAAATCAATTTCCCAGTAATATTTAGGCCTATCCAACAACTTTTTTTTTAACTTTCCTATAAAACTTATTTTTTCTGTAATTGTAATTCCCTAGTAAAAAAAAATTTCCTCTACCAAACCCCACCTTTGGTAGGTGGGAAAAAAATTCCCAAGAAGGTACCTTGGTAATGTGATTATCCCATGTTTGGTAGAAGGAAATCTAAAATTTATCCCGAAAAAATTACATTCTCAGGATTCTTAGGGTGTGTATAACAACCTTCCCGGAATCAATTTTTTTTTTAATTTCTGTTCCGGGGAACAGAAATGGATAGAAAACTCGTTTGGTAAAATTGGTTTATTTTTTTTGTTCTCGGGATGAACCGGTTTATTTTTTGTGCTGGGGAACAGAAAAAAGAATAAAAAAATTCTGCTTTTTTGATTCTGGACACAGAATAAGAAACACTTATCTCTCTCAATTACTCTTCACCACTACCATCATCACCACCGCCACCACCATCCCGACACGACCACCGCTACATCATCGTACTACCACCACCACCTCCACCTCCACGTCACCACCACTGTCATTACCACCACCACTATTACCATCACCACCACCACCACCATCATCGTAGCCATTACCATCACCACCACGCTACCACTACTACCGCCATCGCCGCTGCCACAACCACCGCCACTGCCACCATCACCACCATGTCATCTCCATCACCATCGTCGCAGACACTGCTGTTACCACCACCATCGCCACCACCATTACCGCCACCACCGTGTCATTATCATCACCATCGTCGCCGTCACCACCGCCGCCGCCGCCGCCACTGCCACTATGCCACCATTACCACACTGCCATTATCACGTCATTGCCACCACCACCACCATGTCGTCACCATCACCACCACTATTGCCACCACCATCGCCACCATTATCACCACTATCGTTGCGGCCACTGCTGTCACCACCACCATCACCATCACCATTACCATCACCGCCACCATCACCACTACCATCGTCGTAGCTACTACCGTCACTACCACACCACTACCACCATCATTACCACCGTCGCCGCCGCTGCTACCATGCCATCACCACTATTGACACCGCCGCCACCACCATGCCATCACTAGAGCCGGCAAAACGGGCTCGGCTCGGCTCGCCAACCTGCCCAACCCGCCAAACGGGGCAGGGCGGGGCAGGCTCACTTTTTCGCGGGTTGATGGCGGGCATAGGCAGGCCGAGGCGGGTCAGTGTAAAATAGGCTCGAGCTGGCGGGCCAACCCGCCCAACCAGCCAAACGGGGCGGGGCGGGCTGCTCACTTGGCCACCTCTAGCCATCACCTCCACAACCACCACCATGACACCACTGCTACCGCCATCACCACCACAACGCCCCTACTACAACCACCGCCACCATCACCACCACACCATATGAAAAGGAAAGTGATGATCCGAAAAAAATTTATGCTTAATAGGAATGATTTTTTATTCTATTATTTGTTGTGTTATCAAACACAATTCTCATTCTCGGAATAAAAATATAACATGTTATCAAACACATTTTTTTTCTCAGAAATTGTTCCAAGGCACAGAAATAGAAAAGAATTGTTTCTTTTCAGAAACAGTGTCAGGAAACAGAATGGTTGCCATTCACACCCTTATTTAAACACACTTTTCCCATTTCAGAATACCATTGACAAGGTGGTATTTTACAAATCCCACACTGTGCGAAAATGGACTCAAAATTCTCAGACAAAAATACACATGCTTGAATATCAAGAACATGTTCAGCTCTTGAGGCTGAGCTTTAGGGTTGCCTGTCGGGGCTGCAGTTTGCTGTCGGGGCTGCAGTTTGCTTGGAGCTTGAATATCAAGAACCTTGTCCTCTTGTGTGAACCGACCCGGCCGGGTCGACCCGAAAACCGGTCATGTAACTGGTCCGATTTTCATATTGGACCGGCCATGTTACAGAACCGGTGTGACTCGGTGCGACCCGGCCGGTTTTCGCAAAAACCGGTGACCTGGTCAGATTAACCAGTGACTCGGCCTGGTTTGCAAAAAAAAAAAATAACTAATTTATTCTCATTAATTGATTTCTTCCTCTTTTTAACTCTCAAACACAAATGATTTGTTTTCTTTTGAAATATTTGAGCGATTTGTAGCTTATTAATTTACATAGATTATGTACTTACAACACTAATATTATCTTTGTTATGCAATATGTAGGAATTTTAATTTGATTTATAGCTAAAGATGTCGTTTACTGAACCTGAAACATTAGTATAACAAATATTATATGTTTGATTACTTTTTGTTGGACAATGATATGTAATTTATTATTTTTCGGGAGAGGTTATAGTTACTACCTTTTTTTCTTACTACCTCTTATTACCAAATCTTAACCATTGATTTTCGTTAATCTAACGGTTATAATTTATTAATTCATACTTATTAATTAATTATTAATTTCCAATAAATTATAACCGTTGGATTGACAGAAATCAACGGTTAAGATTTGGTAGTAAGAGGTAGTAAGAAAAAGAGGTAACAAGTATAACATTTCCCTTATTTTTCATATTAAAATATTTAAAATTGATATATATTTTTTACAGGTATTTAAGTATATTTATAATTTTTTTAATATAAATTATAAATTTACATATATTTACCGGGTCATGCGGTTAAACCAGTGACCCACTGGTTGAACCAGTGACCCAATGACCCACTACCTCGACCGGTTCGATAACCGGGCCGAGTTTAATAACATTGGACTCCACAGAAGCATGCTCGTGTGCCAATTTGCTCATTGAGGATGCTGACTGCCTGCATCTAGTAAGAAGCATTTGGGGTCGCTTGAGGAACCAATGGTAGGTCCGTATTGTGCATGTTCCTTGAGATGCAAATGAGTGTGTTGATATAATGGCTAAGATGAGGTTTAATCTCCGTAACCAAAAGATGGAAGTCTTCATAGGTCCTCCTGAAGTTGCATCTTTGCTTGAATATAAGTTCTCTAGATTATAGAGTTTGCATGTTGTTACTAGCTTGCGTAGGCATGCTGTTTCATTCTTGTAGTTTCTTTGTTTTTGTTGTGGGCTTGAAGACCTCATCTTATACCAAAATAAAAGATAAAAAAAGTACTCATGCTTAGTTAGCCCTAACATGAAACAAAATCAATTTTCTCTAAAACTTGCATTCCTCGAAGCAAAATCAGTGACCTAGATGTGAACATTAATGTAACAAAAGTTGAAGATCAATTTATTTTGAAACTTGTGTTCCTCTAAAACTTGCGTTGGATGAATGTCAAACTCAGAAGGAAAAAATTTGTTTGCAAAAGGAGTTATTTTGTTTTGAGCCTAGATATCAAATTTTATTTTTGTAAAATCGCTATACTTTTTCAGTAATATTTAATAATCAACCAAATATAATATCATTAAACTTAAGTCAATATTTCTAATAATATTTTGACCTACCAAATATTTTTTTATCACATTTTCAAAAAACTCACATTTGCACCATATCACCAATAATCATGATTGCTGATTAAAAATAATTCTCCCGTAAATGCCACCTCAAAGTACAAGCGGAAAACCCTAAAAACATCAATAGCTAGATTCTCAGAGACAAAGAACAAAGACAGTGTCTTTCTACCACATAGCAGCACAACAAACGGTCATTTTGAGAAGCTTCTTATTCAAGGGGCTTTTTTGTCCTTTTGCTTACAGGGGGCTTTTTTGCGGTTTTTGTCGCGTCCATTGGACAGTGGCGGTGCAGACGCACGTAGCGGAGTTCAATCTCGGTTCCCAATAGAATCAACAGTTTTGGGCGCGACGAGGTTCAGTTCCCTTGTCTCTCTGTCTGTCTCTCTCTCTCTCTCTGAAGAAAAATGCCACAAAGAGGCAAATCCAAGCACAAGAGGCAATCCTCAGCCTCAGCCTCAGCCTCAGGTAGTTTCTATTGATGCATCTCTCTGCTTCAATCTTCTTCTTTTCTGTTTCGTATGAATATTCAATTACGTTTACAATATGAGATGCTACTTTATTTCTTTTATATTTAAAAAAGAAAAATAAAAAGTGAAGAGACAATGCCTCTATTGTGTCTACTTGTTCCATTGAAAATTGTAATCAACGTCTCAAATGGGGAAGGTTTACTTTATTTTTCTTTTTAATTATTCTTTTTTTCGAGTTTAAAGAAGCACTAGAATGTCTGAGACTGGTGGAGGTTAGTATGAGTTTCAAGTGTAGACTAGGATAAAAAAAAAAATCTTCTGACTTTAGTAAGTGTGCCAGTGTTTCTCGGGTGTTTGTATGCAGTTTTGTTCCTGTTGTCAGGTACTGGGGTTGGGGCCTTGGGGGAATAGACATGAAGTTGGAGTTTTGATTATTGATAGCTGAAAATGTAACATGGGAGTTATACTATTTACTTGGCTTAATTTTTAATTTGTAGGTCAGTCAGGAATCACTTTCAGACTTTCAATTGTGTGTGTATAAAATCAAGTCAAGTATATGTTTTTTACCTTCTAGTTCTCATACATTGTTTTTGGGTTTTTCCTTATCAATTTTGCAGAAAATGAAATGAGAGCACAAAACAACTCCGAAGGTGGAAATAAATTTCTATCACCTAGTGATAATGGTTTGATGATATTGTGTCCAAGAACAATTACTCAGCAAAATGACATTACTCATGGGGTGATCAATGTTTATGCTGGATTTCAGGAACACTGACAGAAATATCACGGGAGGCTGTGGGAAAACTTTTACGCCGCGCTAATAAAGTTGGCACTTCCAGGAAAAAGATGAAAGTTGGTACCGCTAAATTGTTTTTGTTGCTTATTCATAATTTGTGCAGTGCAGTTCTTTTGGTGACTTAGTTACATGATTTAACTACATTCTTAGCGTTTAAAGTTTTCAAATTATGATGGAAATCAAATTACAAGTGTCTTTTCTAAAGCAGCATGTTCTTCTTCTGATCTTCTTATAGCCTGAGTTTGAGCCACGACAAAATGGAACTCAAGTTTTGGAACCAATTCTCCAACCAAAGACTTCAGAGGTTGGACATTGTAGTAGAAGCTCCATGGGAGATGCTTCTGCCAAGGAGAAATGTGGTAATGAAAGTTTAGACCAGGGCTACTTGGACAACGAGGAAGAACTGGATGACTCGGATTGGGAAGATGGTACAGTTGCCATGGATGATCGTCCTGTGACAATTGAATTGAATGTGACCCCTGATTCAGCTGTAAAGAAACAAATTCGTCGAGCTTCTGCCGAAGATAAGGTCCATTGCTATCTTTTAATAGTACTGGTTTGGCTTTAATATCAAAATAACTTTTAGCCACTTGCTAAAAGCTTTTTTGTAAATTCTTCAGGACTTGGCTGAACTTGTGCACAGAGTTCATTTGCTTTGTCTACTTGCTCGAGGAAGATTAATAGACAGTGCTTGTGATGATCTTCTTATCCAGGTTAACTCTTGTCAAATTTTATTTTCTTAATGGATATAAATTCTTCTTTATATTAGCATTGCTATTATATACAACATCATTGTGTTATCATGCCTTTGCCTCCCTAACATCCTCTTTTTATGGTAATCAATAGCTCAATTCTGTTATGTTGGGTTCCATTTGCAAGGTATGGGACATGGAGTCCCACATTGGTTGTATGGGCAACTGATGTGGGGTTTATAAGACTTTGGGCACTCTCACCCTTTGAGCTAGCTTTTGGAGTGGTGCATCCCAAGGTCTCATCATGTTATCTGATGTTTTTATTGTAATTTTTAAATCAGTTGTTAACATAGGGCTTTTCCTAAAAATGTGTTTGCACTTGTGTGTACTTTAACTGTTTTATCTACTTACATTGAGTTTGTGCATTAATCATTATTCAATTTTGCCTGATTCTATTTTCACTCAAAAATTCCTCGTCAAGTTGTGCATTTCGTTGTCATGGCAGGCTTCTTTGCTTTCTCTACTTCCATCGCACTTGCTTCACCTATCAAGTGTCACAAAACTCACTTCAAAAGCGCTACATCCTTTAATCTTATGGGTATGGGTTGATTTAACTCGTATACATTTTATCTTGTTGCGTTTTGTAGGCAGTCTTGGATAGATTCATGCTATATCACTTGTAAAATCTTGTTTGATTCCTTGTGTGAAACACTTGCAGTTCCATGATAATTTCCATGTTAAAAACTGTACAAATGGAGAAACGTCACCGCACTTTGCTTTGGCATCAGCTTTAGAATCACATGAGGGTAGTCTTGAAGAGGTAGATCTGTTTTTAATAAAGCCTTGTTGTTTTCTATATTTACTTGCTGATTATATGCTTTACTGGATTTTGAGTTTGTCCTTTAATAGTTATTATATTCATTGTAAACCAGGCATATTGCACTTGCTATTTAAATGGTTGAAAGTGACAGATCTGTTACTAATTCAGTCTCTGGATGAAAGGATTTGATGGCCTTTTAACTACCCTCTTCCTCTGCTTATATTTGACTTAACTTAAACCAGTAGTAAAATGAAGTTTCTTGGGACTGGGTTTGTTGGGTTATCTATATACTTTATAGAATTTCTCAGTGCTTTGAGGAAAATTTACAGGGAGAATTTTTTTTTTTTTTTAATTGTAGATTGCAGCTTTATCGGTGGCACTATTTAGAGCTTTGAATCTTACAGCCAGGTATTGCATAAGAGAATGGAACAGGTTATCTTTCTGTAGTTCATCAATTACTTTTATTATATTGTTGGTTTGAAAAATTTGAACATTCAATACTGTAAGAGCAATGTTAAGCTAGTCTTTTTCTGTTTGAAGAAAACTCCTTGGTATTATATAGTTTATATTGTTGTTGTTAAGCGGTCAAGAGAGCCCATAAGTAGGGGAGATCTCCATTAATGAGCTAAGTGAAAAACCACAATAGTGAGCTCAACACCACGTATGACTCAGAAACCTTTAGGCAATGAGTCTATAGGTCTTTTCACTTATATGATATTCAACCCATTCCTAAGCAATGTGAAACTTCATCACCCACACTTGAGTTTCTAATATGAAGCAATCCTTGAAAAATGAGTTTAACTGAATTATTCTCTCCAAAATCCTTTCATGCCATGCCTTTATCCACCTGTAGGATCTTGCTTTTTATTATTTTGGATGGGATTGATAATATACTAACCTCGATGTTGCAATGAAATGAGTCTATAAAGAGAAAGATAACAATAACAACAAAGTCAGAAGCGTACCTTTAAATAAGAAAATAGAATGATATGGAAAAACAAAAAATATAAGAGCATCAATACTATTACAAGAACTACTAGGTGTAAGAAAATTTATTCATTTTTTATTACTCATGGATATAAGGTTTGAAAGAATTTTATCTCTTCTGCTGATGCAAATATGTGGAGTTAAATTTCTCATTTGAAGGCATATTTCAGGTTTGTGTCCATTCTGGATGTTGCCTCTCTTAAACCAGATCAGTCCTTTAGACCAGTTGCAAGTAGATCTAGTAAGGGGATATTTAATACTTCTACACCAATGGTATCTAAGCTAAAATCGGATTTTACATCACCTCAAAAATCATTATCTTGTTACGAGAGAGATAAAGTCTGTGAAGGTTCTCTTGGCCATTCACGGAAAAGTAAGAAATGCCGCACAGCAAGCCACGTGCCTCGGTCCAGAGATCATCCTTTTGCTGGAGACTTGAATGATAATGTGACAGACTCACAAACTCTTGAGACGCAGGATACTAACCCCGAATCATGTCTCGCTGACGAATCTCATGATTCAAAGAGGAAAGGGGATCTTGAATTCGAGATGCAGTTGGAAATGGCTCTTTCTGCTACAGCAATTGAATGTCAAGAGAGTAAAATGGTGTCAGGTGTCAACGCTGATTCATCAGATTTTTCTTGTTCGTCAAAAAGAATGAAAAGAGTTGTAGGTGAAGAATCTTCTACCTCCCCTCAAGTAATTTCTACAGCAGTTGGATCAATGAAAGTAGGATCTCCTCTGTACTGGGCAGAAGTATTTTGCAGTGAAGAAAATTTGACAGGAAAGTGGGTGCATATTGACGCTGTGAATCTGATAATTGATGGAGAAGACAAGGTTGAAGCCATGGCAGCTGCATGCAAAACATCTTTGAGATATGTTGTTGCTTTTGCTGGGCAGGGGGCCAAAGATGTGACCCACAGGTTTAATATTTTCACCTTCATATATTTTCAGCCTGAATGCAGTAATGATTTTGCAACTTTGTTTACCCTAGTCAAATTCTTGATAGCTCTGCATAAACCATCATCTTTTTTACTGCTCAAGTTGCCATTTGATTTGTTTTTGGAAATTTCTCATATTCTTAGAATAAATTATTTGTGTTTCTCGGAGACTAACACAAGATTCTTGGATCACTAACAGACAGGCAATGCATGACAAATTTCAAAGTGAACAAGCATCTGTGGACTAATTATAGTAATTGATATCTTGATACACTATTATTTTTTCAGTCATTCTCACCCTCGTGAAAGAGAAATCATATGGGAAAAACCTGTTGCAATTAAATATTCTTGTTCATTAGATCACAGACACAATGGAAATGAAAAAACCAGAATTCTTTCCTAGATATCCGAAGGAGTTAATAACTTTAGCAGTTAAACTGATTTTTTAAAAGAGGAAAAGAAAACAGGGTATCAAGACACAACCATTGGACACATTTGAATGATCTAAAGTATGAATATTAGAGTTGCTAATAAATATTACTTACTATATTGGCAGTCAAATTTAGCTTGGAGAATAAACAAGAAGTATGAACTGAACACAAATGTAGCAAACGTTTGGGTACATATGTTGTTGGCTTTTAAAAAATGAAAACAACCTAGCTGCATGTCCATTAAAAGTATCAAACCTCGCCTCCCCTTCTTTCCCTTTCTTCTTCATTTATGGAAGACTTTTTGTTACTGGTTTGGCAGTTAAAATATTAAACAGCTTTTTGGGCAGTCTGTGCATGGTTTTAAAATTGATTGCATGTATGTCTAAATGTAACTTTGCTTCCGCAATATATTCTTCAATATAATATTCATTTTAAAGTAAAAACTCTAAAAAAAAATTAAAAAATACTTATCGCATATGATGGTTAGATAGTTTAGGTATAATAAACTTTTTATAGTAAAAATAGCTTTTAGCACTTACATGTTAAGATTATATCAAATAAAAATTCCACTTCATTATCAACGATACAGTTAAAACCATAATAACCAAAATTGTGCTTGAGAATTATTATTTTAGCTTCCAAAGCAATCCTTGACAGCTATGAATGGTGGAAGCAACACTTGTAACACTAACTGATTCATATTAAGGTGCACAACAACAGAATTTTAGCTTCCAAGAAATCCTTACTAATAATAATTATTTCAGAAAAGGAACTCATTCTATTCATGTAGTGTAATAATAGTTGAAATAGCTAAGTTTTCGAAATTACAAGAGAATATTTTATGGGAAACTCTGAAGCAGATTACAATTTTTGTTGCACACTTTTTCCTTATAACATTATATTTTTCGTCTGTTCAGTTGTATTGTTTTAGCTCTATTCAACTGCTAATGCTAAGCAGTAGCTTCAATAAGGCTAGTGACGCTTACATAAAGTTACATCTCATTGACATATTAGGTACTGTATGAAGTGGTACAAGATATCATCACAACGAGTTAATTCAACATGGTGGGATTCAGTATTGGCACCTCTGAGAGACTTGGAGTCTGGGGCAACTGGAGGTGTGGTTCATTTGAGAACAAACCAAATCATTGCTAAAGAATCGAACATGAGTGATTCTTTTGTCCCTACAAGGAGCTCTCTTGAGGATATTGAGTTGGAAACTAGGGCATTAACTGAGCCTCTTCCAACCAATCAGCAGGTAGTTTCAACAGTAACCTAGAAAACATAATGTCTAATATTGTAGATGGTGATATGTATGCTTCATCCTTTGCAGGCCTACAAAAGTCATCCACTTTATGCAATAGAAAAATTGCTTACGAAGTATCAAGTACTTCATCCAAAGGGTCCAATTCTGGGATTTTGTTCAGGTCACCCGGTTTACCCTAGGACTTGTGTGCACACAGTTAAGACAAAAGAGAGATGGCTCCGGGAAGGACTGCAAGTTAAACCCAATGAACATCCTGTGAAGGTCTCATCTGGCTGACAGTGTTCAGTGTCGTTTCCCTGATTTCATTGTATTTTTTTTTTTTCCTTTTAATATGCTCATGTAATTGATTCTTTATGAAAAAATCCATTCAGGAACTTGAACATTCCATAAAGCCTCAAAAAGTTCAAGATTCTGAAGCTGATGACAATGGCTGCACTGATTCTAAGGAAAATATTAAACTTTATGGGAAGTGGCAACTGGAACCATTAAATCTGCCTCATGCTGTGAATGGGATAGTTCCTAAGGTATTGTCTGTTACTTTCTATAAATGCTCTTTATATAGGGAAAAGTATGGGTATGAAAGATATTGTTTTTGTGGAAATTTCCTTTTTAAAGTATTCAACTGTTTACCCTTTGGAAAATTCATGATTAGACATGATGCAAAATATTTTTAGATTAGGGTCTCACCAGGCAGATTTTGTTCCATCAACTAGATAGATATTCCTACCAGTGTAGAACTATTCTGAGGACCGTATTTGTTCTTCATTACCATATTCCATAAATTATGTATTACTAACAGTTATGTTTCCTATTTTACATCTAGAACGAGCGTGGTCAGGTAGAAGTTTGGTCAGAGAAATGTCTTCCGCCAGGGACTGTGCACTTAAGGTTTCCAAGGGCATTTTCTGTTGCCAAGAGGCTAGAAATTGATTATGCACCTGCTATGGTTGGTTTTGAATTTAAAAATGGACGTTCACATCCTGTCTTTGATGGTATTGTGGTGTGTGCTGAGTTCAAGGATGCACTGCTACAGGTATTTCTTTTTCTTGCTGAATAGATAACACGTTGCAGATAGAATGAAGTTTGACTGGTGAAGTGATTAGTATGTCATCCACTTTATTGCTCTTCATTAATCTGTTGAATTTAATTCGATAAACCTTTCTACATTGTAAAGTATGGTAGCTTGGGCTTGTTTGTTTACAGGGGCTAACTATTTATTAATAAAAATTTATTCTGCTTATATTCTTGATTCTGGAAATCCCTTAGCCTCTTTAGAGATATGTTTCTAAAAAGGACAAAACTTGCATCTTGTTCCCTTGTATGTTACATCCTGTTTTTGTAGTTTCATTACATTTATGCTATTACTTAATTTTTATTTTCTCCTTTTCCCAGGCATACGCAGAGGAAGATGAAAGACGACGAGCTGAAGAAAAAAGAAGAGATGAAGCACAAGCTCGTAGTCGGTGGTACCAGCTTCTTTCATCTATTGTGACTCGTCAAAGGTTAAATAATCGTTACAATAACAGTTTGTCATCAGGGATGTCAACTGATGTCCAATGTATGAATGATAATGAGTCAAATGCCTATGACAAGAATCAGACTCCCAAACACCATCAAGTGAACAAATGTGATACTGATCTTGATGCTTCATTAAGTACTCCAGTAAAAGACCATGAGCATGTTTTTTTGAAAGAGTACGAGAGCTTTGATAAGGAAACTTCTCTATTGACTAAGCGGTGCCAATGTGGATTTTCAGTCCAAGTAGAAGAGTTATAGCATTTATTATGATTTATGAAACACTTTCTGCCTAGATGCATAACTATCTTCCCATGATGCTTCAAGCAATGAAAGACATCGTTTGGATCTTTTTCCAGTTTTGTAGTTTCTGGGACTCGTATCATTGCTTTATCATTGACTTGGGGTTAGATGCTTAGATGGCTTTGGCTCTACGACTTGGCTGTAAGATATATTATGTGATGTAAATAATCAAAAGTCAAACAGTTTCTCTTATGTCTGACAAATTTCCAGATATACATCTTAATTATACTCAAGTTTGCCACTGGAATTTGGAAGCATAAAATGAAGACATGTTTGCCATGAAAGTCGCATGGTTTGTATTGCAATTTTGTGTTCTCTTCGTCCCTTTACACGAAAGTTGGTAGAATGTAAATTCTCAGTAACTTGCTCAATCAAAGTTCGTAATGCATCTCATCTGTTGTATGCTATATGTATAGGGGTTTAGTTTTCTCCTTTTTATGGGAGAAAACTAGTCTCTTTGCTTTTGCTGTTGACACAAGACAATAGGTGAGAGAAAAATAATAGGTAAGAGAAAAAAGATTTAAAGTGAAATTCATTTATGATTGTATTTGTTGAAATGAGTCATTTTCTCCAATAACAGCAGAAAATGATTCCCCGTATATATATATTGAGGTATGATATGTCCTTTTTCACTTGAAAAGTCTGAATTTCACACGGGTGTTTTTCATTATTTTGCTTTGCCCTGCATAAATTTATTAATTTACGCTATAAGATTTAGGGGATTATAGATTTTCCAACTTCTAACTTGTGCCTTAAAAAACATGTATTGATTTCATCAAATCATCCTAATTACTTTCAAAGACGTAATTGTTTTTTTATATTTTTGAGTTATTAAATACTTTAATATTTTTTAATAACTTTTATTTAATTTATTAATCAATACTTTAAAATATGTGATAATAAAACCTTTAAAAGTTTTTAAATAATTTCAAGGATGTAAAGTTTTTCCCCTAACTATTTACATTTATTAAGCCAAATTTACTATCAATACAATTGATTTTTTCACGCGGGTTTAATTTAAATCTCATCAATAATTACAAGCTTTCAATTTAACAGACAGATATCTAGTACATATTTAAGTAGTTTTTGAAAATGGATACCAAAAAAAAAAAAAAAAAGTAGTTTTTGAAAAAACAATCGAAATGTTCACTAAAATATTTTCAGTAGTGTAAAATAGATTAACTTAAAAATACTTTTACTTTTATAGAGTATAATTCAAAGATTGACAAGTGAAACCTTCATTTTTTGTTGTATATATATGAGTCATCATTTACTTTCCTTAAAATGGCAGATACTGGATAGCAAGCAACCAAAGACCTCTAACTAAGAGTATATTGCCTGATATAAAACCCACCCCCAACAGAAGATATCAAATGCAAAATCATATCTAGCGTCTACCTCAAGTAATTAACAAAAAAACATGATTTCTTTCCCATATTTCACACGAACTATGTGGAGTTGACAGTTATCCTAATTTGCAATTGGGAAGAAGAAAAATTAGGGATGACACTTTGATTTGCTAAATACTTGGGGAGAGTCCCCTATATTTTTTTCCTCACTCATCTCATTTGGAAGAAGCAACTGAAATGGTTCAGTGCAGCCCTTTAGGATTCCTTTCAAGAATACAACTCAAAAAGGGTAAAAATCCCCAAAATATTAGACAAAATGATATTTTTAATAAAAATATAATCAAGGTTCTGGATGGATTATAAATGAAAAGTTAGAATTGTTTGACTATTAGTCATTTAATAATACCTAAATAAAAGATCTACTGGTATATTACCATAAATTTCAGAATCAATTATGACAAGTTTAAAATTCAGGGTAATATTTTACAATAAGAAACAATTTAAGGAGACTTTGTGTAATTTTTCCAATAATTAATTACCATTATTTTAACTTTCAAGTAATAATACTTTTTAATTGTACTTTGATTCACTCTATATAATTCTTTTACATAATAAAAAGCTTCGATTGTATTTGAGTCATTTAAAAATTCTATTTTGTTAGAAATATGACCCCATTGCCGCTATTGGTTATGATTACTGATAGAAGGCATCATGGCATCAGTGGCGGAGCCAGCAAGGCATTTAAGCCAGTGCCAAAAAATTCAGCTGGTGCCACCGTTATATAGCTACGACCTAAACGTGGCTAGTTTTCAAAAAACTTGAAACATGATTTGCTACGTTTCAAACGTTGCTAAAGAAACGTGGCTAAATTAGCCAGTGCCAAGGCACCTGCTGACACCAACGTGGCTCCGCCACTGCATGGCATTGCATAAGATGATATGTATGTTGTAACTAAATTTAGTGAAACATAAGTGTCCAGCACAATAATAAATACATATTAAAATTCCTTTTCCTTCTCAACATTATTGTTTCAAGCTCCCAATTCGAATCATAGTAGCCAGTTCAGTGGTCTCTGGAATATGGTTTGCTTTTCTTGTATATTCATATAAATTATATTAGGGTTTTATAAGAGTTATGTTGTAGGAAAAGTGATTGTGTAATGTTATAGAGATTTGTTTTGCGTGCCGTAGCTTTTTTTTTTTTTGCTTCAAATAGTGTGGGCCCCACAAAATGTTGTGTGTGTAGGAAAATTTGTTGTGTCATGTGAAATGATAAATGCAAACCTCATTAAATTACTGTTCATATATTCTTAACATTTTTAAAGGCAGTATGCCGTAACAAACTAAATCACAAGAATTTTTGTCATTACGATCTTTTATTTTACCTAAGGGGGTGTTTGGTACAGGAGAAATTTTTTTTTATCTGGAAGATATTTTTTCTGAAAAATTGTTAAGGAATATTTTTTACCGGAAAAGTTACGAAAAGATGTTTGGTAGGCCAAGAAGTTTACCGAAAAACTTGGGTTAATTTTATGTTACTATGTTTGGTTGATCGTAAAAAAATGATGAGAATGATAACCAAATTTACCAAATTACCCTTAAATTTGAATATTTGTTGAATTTCTTCTGTCTTTAAACCGTTCCATATATACATTTGCAGTGTCCATCTCTTTTGCTCTCTCTCTCCCTCCAGGTTCGTTAGCTTCTTTGCGTTCAATTTCCCTCACCTCTCTTCATGGATCTGGTATTAGGGTTGCTGGAGATCTCCTGCAGACCGCCAAAACCCGCCTTGTGACAGACCTAGCAGCAACACGGTGGAAACAGTGGCGGAGCCACATTATGTTTAGGTAGGGCTGGGCCCAGCTACATTTCAATAAATTTTATTTATTATATATAATTATATAAGTAATTATAATTAGGCCCTATCTCAAATTGTAAGTTGGCCCTAGCTAGATTTATAACAGTGGTAACAGAAGAAGATTTTGAATTCTGAAAAATTGTTAAGAAATATTTTTTACCAGAAAAGTTACGAAAAGATGTTTGGTAGGCCAAGAAGTTTACCGAAAAACTTGGGTTAATTTTATGTTACTATGTTTGGTTGATCGTAAAAAAATGAAAATAAAAAAAACTTGTGTCATGAATAATGTTCATAAAGATCACATGAAAATGTTCATAAAAATCACATTAAAATTTCATATATGTATATATACATATAATTTGTACTTTCTTTACTAATTGAATTTTATATTATATTTTAAATTGTAATTAAATATTTATTATTTGTTAAAATATCATTAATCCTATTACTTTGAAAATTAATGTTACAAATTATGATCACATAATATGTTTTTAAATGAATAATATATCATAAATATATTATATTATTAAAATTAATAAAAAATATGTGTAATTATGATAAATATTTTGACATGTCAAATTTTTTGGCCCCGACTAAAATTAAATTCTGACTCCACCACTGGTTGCAGCATCTATACTATTATACTTCTAGTTTTCTGCAGTGCGGTAATGTGTGGTTTTCTATCCAGATGTATCCAATCATTGGAGATAGATATAGATATAGATGCATTGACTGTAAGGAGAATATGGATTTCGATCTTTGTGGCGATTGCTATAACAGCTTCCAGGCCGATTTAATCAACAACACACCTCAGAGCACAGGTTCAAGCTTGTACAACTCAATGTTATTCGTAACATAATGTTGAGGCTGGTCACGGGACAGTTAGACTTAGGGGACAGTTCTATTGACAATGAGTCTTCTGGAAATTTAGAATTTGCATCCGAGGGGACCCCTTTGTTTGATGATGGAGATGATAACCAGGATGATTCTGAAGACCCCAATTGAAAAATTGAACTTTTTTTTTTTTTTTTTTGCTATATAAAAAATTGAACTTTCTGATCTGGGGATTTTAGTGGATAACTTCTTGCTGATCTCACAAATAATGCTTCAAGTAAGTTTGCAAATCAAATTTGGTTGGTTCTCTCGTATGAATGAGACAAATATGCAGGGTTTACAATTTTAAAAAAAAAAAGAAAATATTGGCACAAAATTCGATAAGTGAAACACATAAAATAGCTATCTCCAATAACATAAAACAAATATTTCCCATCAATAATACTGGCTGTCCTCGGCTTTAATGTTGCAGCAAACTTTAGGCAATAACTTGAAGGCACAAGACTTGGAAAGATAATCCACCAAAACCAATAAAAAGACTTGGAAAGATGATACTATGAATTATGGATTACACATCAAACATAAAATTTCAAAAAAGGGAAATAGGACAAATAATTGGATGGGAAAAAAGTATCTATTACTTTAGATAACTTTATCTAATGTTCTTTACCAAAAAAAAAAAACTTTATCTAATGTTCATCAAAACGATGTCATTTTGAGGTTAAAAAATTAGAATGATAAAGACTATTATAACCTTGAAATAAATTAAAATTACAAAAACATCATGATTTTTGCCCCAAAACGTCGTCGTTTCGATGAACATTAGATAAAGTTATCTAAAGTAACTTTAGAAAAAACAAACTCATAATTGGATATATAGTTTCTAGCTTGTTGCTTGGGGTCTCGGTTGTAGAGAGACACTTGGTTGTTTACAGGGACAGGGGTTTTTTAACCCATTAACTTAACATAAGGGAGGAACCAAAAGTACTCAATTTTAACAAATAAGGGACACGACTAAAAATTTATATTTTAAACAAACTAAAACTAAAATTTAATATATTTATACACACCAAAATCTTACTAAGTCAATATATAAATAATGATGCAAATACGAGTTAATTAATATCATTTCATTGTTGTAGAGAGTCTCAAAAGTCTCGTG